TGCACATAGAGGTAGATGTATAAGAGGAGGGCGTTCGTGTACATACACACTTTGTTTCCTGCTCTTAAGAGGAATGTCCACAGTAGCATTCAATCCCAGGACCTTAACAATCCTGAACATTTAACCCTGACCAAAACCCAATCATGATTATGGTCTTAACCTTAAACTGAACTTTAAACTGGCTCTTTAAGGAGGTGAGCGTTCTCAAAAAGCTATCTGATTGTGGAAATGTCCATAATTAAACATTTAAAACCAAGAACACATTGTTGAATGATGAAGACAATACAGAGGTACCTTATAATGCCTGCTGGATATGGATACATAAAATGTGAATTAAAAAAAACCTCTGACAATGTTGAAGTGAATTCATGAATATATCAGAAATTAAGTTTGGATCTCAGTAGCTAATTTGCTCTGTCAGCACTATTGCCATTGTTAGCCCTGTTTGCATTGTTAGCAGCCGCTGGCTCAGCGGACGCCATGTTGAGAGCCTTGGGCGGCAATAGATATGCTCTGAATACCGACAAAGAACGTCTAAGTATGTACGTTTTGTAACAAAAGTAAGGTAAAATAAGTCAAGTTGACTGTTATTTTCTGTTTTTTGTTGTTGTTGTTTTTTGTTTGTTTGAGCCATCCACCCACCCCGTCCTCCTCCCTATACGCTGACTTTGTTTTAATTTATACTACCTGACTTACTTAGAGGCCGCTCTGCTCCCCATTACCCATGATTACATAGGTTATATACAAATTATAATGCATTACTTTCCCCTCTCTCTCATTACTTTTACTTTAGCAGCAGTGTTCTGATTGATCTGAAATTTTCTTTTTTCAGACTCTTTTGGAAGACCAGACAGGAGACCACTACAATATTACACCCTGCTGGAAATAAAGGCATGAATGTGTTCCTCTAAATCTTGCTGCATAAGACATATAATTGTTGCTATTTGTTTTACCTTGATGTGACTGCTAAAGCTCAGAACACCAATATTTCTAACTTATAACTATAAGCATTGATATAATGAGTCAAAGAGACCATAGTTACTTAGAGAGCTAGTCAATCTGTGTGTTGTCTGTGTAGTATTTGACCTAGAGGTAGCATGCAGGTTAAATGATAGTGGCCTGAAAATCTCCACAGGTCATGGTGATCCGCGATTGAGATTACAATCTCTCAAGAAGTATTTTATGGTCTACACAGTGTTAAAGGCTCCACTAACATCAAGCAGCACCAAAACTGATGATTAACCTGAGTCTGTAGACGGACACCTTAATTGGTGGAATTAGGATGCAAACATCGCTCTCCTGTCTTAAAGTAACACACTTAACCATCCTCTTTGACTTCCTCACTAACAGTCCCACGAAACACGGTGTGGAGAAATGTTTGTATATCCCTTGCCTCGAGGATTTCACATGCAAACAAGAATAAACTCATGCTTGGCACAAAGTCATATAAATTGTTGGGGACACTATATTTGCTGATGAACAAGTTACAATGGGTCTTCGTCGTAAGAGATGTTATAACAATGTCACGTTACCTTCCTGATGCAAGGCAGGAGTTATTATTTGAACAGACACAAAAGGGTCCATGTCAGGTAAACGTAAAGATAGGTCGCATTTGAAGAAACAACATCTGGTGAGAACAGTCTCGCCACCCCATGCAGAAAAATTACACTTTACACTGGGTAGATGTACGCATGCTAAACAATCCCATGTCCCACTGTATACAATGTGATGCTATGACCCCTACATTTCCATTACCCTCGCTGCCTCTCCATTCTCCGTCCTTCTCAGGCTCCTTGCTCTCTCGTTGTTGCTCGCTCTCTGACCTGTGAGATTGCAGGTCAGGTTAAGCCCTTTCCACAGCCACCTACTTGGCTTGTATTTGTGTCTCACTGGGTTGATAGTGCCTCCACCTTAAATGAGCTGGTTAATACCGTGGTAACCTCTTTCATCACATGCTGACTCTCTGCTCAAGTCCTGATTGGTTTTACTGATTGTTCTAAGCAAAGAGAGTGACTGTCCTGCTGATAAATAACATCTGTCCAGCCTTATCTATGTTATCATGCTGAGTTTTGAATGACTTGGAATGACTCATTCCAACATGTGGAACCTGTTTTTAATGACCATAAATCCAGTAACACTGGAACCTATTGGCCTGCAGAGACCTGAGTTCAAACTGCCGTGTTGGGAAGCTTCAGCAAGACACGTAACTCTCACCAGCTCCTGGAGTGCTGTTATGAAACAGAGGACAATTTCATCTAAGAGGTTATTATGTTTACAATAATGCATCATTGTGATAAAGAATGTATTTATTAAAATCATGCATCGACCTGTTATTGTGCCACTAAAGTTACATATGTGGGTATTGATAAAAACTGAGAAAATCTTCTGAAGACTGTCAGATGCAGTTGAAAGCTCTGGAAAGTTTTTTTTCACAAGAACAACAACAAAAATTATAAAAATGATAATAAATCAAAAAAAATACTGCAGTCTCTAAAGTGTGTTTTGAATTTCTTGTACTGTCACATATACTGTATATATATACATATATATATATACATATATATATATACATATATATATATATATATATAAATGCTTCCTAAATACCTATATGTATACACACACGGATCAATATTTCTAGTACATATAGGGACGTGTACTGTATACATGTGGCATTTGAATTTAACTTTTTTCCACTGATGTATATCATATGTACCTTTTAGAGGTTGTTCTGTCTGTCTCCTATTTGATCAGATATCTTCGCATTAAAAAGAGTTTTGCCTCTTGTGGATACACTAGCCTATGTGTGGTCTATTATCGTTCCAGGTATTCGTGGTTGAAATAAATTTGAGATTTTGGACTGTATAAATACAATGTACTGGACTTGACTTTGAAGGCACTACTGTGATATTACATACGGAGAAAAAATCCAACAAAACAAAGTTTTACTCACCTGGAAAAATTAAATCTTCTGTTACAGCGTTGCCTTCTTTTTTTCTCCTGCTCTGGCTTATTGACAGGGTTGAGTCAGCTGACGTTAGTGTTAACAAAAGCAGCCATGTTCCAACTGAGCCTTAACCCGGTAGCCCACTGGTCTTCAGATCTTACAGTCTGTTGTTGCCGGAAAGCCTTTATATAAATCAAATCTCTACAGCTTAGACACCTGCGGGTCAGAAACGAGATATCAGAGTCAAGGACATGGAAAGAGATGTAACAGATAACTTTGATAATAACCAATTATGAAGTCATATCCATCAGATAAAATTCAGTATTGTACAAATCGAATGAAAAGATCAAACGATTTCTTCCTGTAAACCTGAGCTCTAATTAAACACAGAAGAGGATGATATATTATAGACAAGAACATGATATCATATATCACGAGGAAACAGAGTCAGAGACATTATCGCTTCACAGCTGATATATTCATCGGCTTAGTTAATATTTCATAGGGCTCTAAAAACCTCATTCTCTCTAAATTGTCCTCCCTTCTTGGCAATAATAATTTAAATGCAGGGAGCCTCTCAGTGTGCCACCCATGTGTCAGAGCTCACATCTAAATTATATGAGTATGTGTGCACATATGTATGCATATAGGCACTCACACACATGACATAAAGGCACATAAAGAAGCACAGCCAGGCACATAGTGGATGTAAGAAAGCAGAGATACTGTAAAAGCACATGTGCGTCAATGCAAACAATTATTTTGACTCTATACATGATTTGCCAATTTTGTAAAATGTAGAAAAAACACTGCTTCCTGCTTTCTGGCAAGCAATAGTTATTTTCTTTCTCCAAATGCAAATGTGACCAGTGGCTTGGCATCTGCCTGAGGGCTCAGTCGGCTGACAGTTTGCATTCTGGGGAGTGATCTATTGATCCATATTCAATATCTGCTTCCCTCTCCTGCTCAGTAAAGTTGGGAGACGAATAAATAAGAAGCAGGACTGACAGTTCATGCAAGCTCTTGTGCCTTAGAGGACAGGGGGGTTGCCTAAATTGGGGCCTGAGACTAAATGCCCCCAGACCATTATGTCATAATAAAATGTGAGCAAAATACTCTATTTCAGGACAACTGTGTTTATAATGTCAGGGGTGTGTGTTTATAATAAGTGTGGTCCAACAGAAAAAAACACCTGCCAAAATATTTCAGAGGAACCCCCGCTGTATAACAGGCATTAGCACTCCAAAACATAAAAAAACAATATCCAATTTGAGAATTAATTACTTAATAAATGCTACTAATGTAAATTCAGAGAGAGAGAAAATAAGAGAAGAAGAACAGGAGGAGGAAGAGGAGGAGAGGGGGTTGTCGGCAGCGATACGTCTTTCATCTCTAACAAGGTCTGAAAGCTAGAAACACAGACATGACAACAACCCTGAGAACACCACTCTTCTCCTTTCACCTTCTCCTTTTCACTTCAACATCCTTCGTGATGAATGTCAGGCTCACATCTGTGGCCTACGATTTGTACTCACATTTCAGTCTCTTAATAACACCTGCTGTTCAGCCAAACATAGCTCCACAAGAAGCTCCGTATCTCATTCAAACTTAAAAATCTTTATTTGGCCAAGCAGATGCGGTTCTACATAGAGTAGTGTGTGGTTTGTTGTCTGGATCATGGCCCTCATAAAGGATGGATCAGGCAATCCCAACATACATTTTAGAAAAACACTATAAAAAAATGATCCATGTATTACAGTAATTGACAGGTGTAATGTCAAACACTGACATATGATTATTATAATAGGTGTTGTGGGTTCTAACTGTGGTGTAAATAAATCTGTAGTTCAAAAACCGAAAAGGTTTGATTAAACTATTAAGCAAATGTAGTCATTTTGATTTGTGAAAAGGTCACATGCAGGATAGGAGGGTGAATCACAGTGTGTGTGTGTGTGTGTGTGTGTGTGTGTGTGTGTGTGTGCGTGTGTGCGTATGTGTGTGTGTTACGGAGAGAGGGCGGGGGAGCAGTAGTAGGCAGATGCTGAGAGGAGAGACGCAGGACGGAAAATACAACAAGTGAGTGAACTGTTGCTCTGCAAATTAAGTCGCTCTGCAGCGGGATTTCTGAAGGGCGAAAGTCTGTAAAAGTAACTCGTCAGAATGTGTGATTTCATTTGAAAGAGCGCTACGCGACTTTGAATTGTAGCCAATCATTAATACTCTTTTTTTTATTTTTTTATTTTATTGACTCCGTGTCTGCTCAGATTGCCTGTGAGCGCTGCTTGCGAGTATTTTGGACGGTGCGCTCCGGCCACCATGCAGGAGTCCTGGATGAGATGCTGCAAGTTTAAATATTAGTGTGAGTTTGAGTTTGTAGCGCAGCGCAACTTCACCCGATGCGACAGTGAAAGCGCTCAGTCTCGGAAGGATTTCGTTCCGGTGTCCTGGGCCAGTTTTCCTGCGGCGTTTCCATCTGAACCCGCACCATGAAAAAACACTGAGAACCGCGTAGAAAGAAAGAACTAGGTAAGCTGATTTGAGTTTTAAAGTTTGCTGGTGATATCCTTATTTCCTCTTGCTCTGATTAAATTGATTGCCATATATAGCCAACAATTAAAGAGACTATTTTTATTAAAAGGGAAATATAGCCTATATTTGAATATTTTTGCTGTTAAAGTCAAGTTTGTAGACCATAATATACAGTATGTAGGCCTGTAATAATAACAACAGTCGACCCCAGGTCGTTTGATTATGATTTAACTGAGGTTTATCTTTTTTTTTTTTTTATCAGTAATGACAAATATGTTTAAATAAAATAAATTTAACTAAAATTCCTCTGTATCCTGTATTACATTTTTCATTTTAGTTATGTTGCTGAATATTAATTTAGATATTCATTAATTACAAAATGAATTTGTTACATTTTTCTTACATTTTCTGTTTTTCTGTATGTGTTATAGCAAAGAGGTTTTGTATAATTATGAGTCTGTGTGTGTGTGTGTGTGTGTGTGTGTGTGTGTTCTTTCCCTTCTAGATTCAGTGGTTTCCACATTCAATGCAATTTGGCCTGCCCCTTTTCTCAGCATTTGCCCTTTTATGACCTGTAACCAATTTGTAGCTACTTTGAATGGAGGAGTAGACTGCTGAGATAAATCTAATCCAGGCTCCTACAACAAAAAACAGAGCAGAGATTTAGCAGTTTACTCGTTCTTCTCTTCTCATTCCTCGACAGAAAAGTAAAGCGCCCTTCCCCATATGTGGTGGGTGAGATGAGCTCCAGTGGGAATACTGTAGACCCCACCTGACAGCCCTCTGCCTGATCAACTGAAAGCTTCTCATCAGAGCCTCCACGAGAGCTGGATAAAACAAAGGTTGCCTAAAATCAACATCTCAACGGTGATGCTCATTTTTGAAAAAATATTTCTATATATTTATGTTATGTTTGTCTCGCAAAATAATATATTATCTTTAGATAGGTTGACAGCCCTTTGACATTGTGAACCAGAAGAAACTGAATAAAAAGGATACAAAACAAATGTTCTGAATACCAAGAAATGGAAAAACCTATTTGTCATTCTCCCCCCTGATTTTCTCCCGTCTGAGACTTGCCTGTCCCACACCTAGAAGAGTCCCCTGTATCTCTGCCCCGCACAATCACACATTTCTCTCCTCCACCTTCTCAATCCAGTAGTTACTCTCTTCAGCCTTCAGCCTGGCCGGCACAACCATTCCAGCGAAGGGGGAGGAGGACTTCCTCACGCTGGCCGCCTCCCGACTCAGCCGCAAGAAACGTGTCATCGGGGCTGGAGTCGGCGTGGCCATGGTCTTGATCCTGCTGGTGGCCATTCCCCTATTGGTCCACACCACCAAGGGGGGAGGGTCTGGAGGAGGGGGCACGCACTTCGAGATGCTTGGGAGCTGCAAGATGGTGTGTGACACTTTCACCCCCCCACAGGGAGAGCTGACAGCCGTCTCCCCTCAGCCCCCAGACTTCTCAAACCGCAGGGGTAAACAGGGGTTCAGAGGGACCCCTGGACTTCCTGGTCCTCCAGGTCCTAAAGGGCCCCCCGGAGAGCCCGGCAAGCCCGGCCCACCTGGTCCACCTGGACCTGGACCCGGAGGCTACGGCCCATCCTTCTACAGTCCCAAAATCGCCTTCTACGCAGGCCTCCGGAAACAACACGAAGGGAGTGAAATACTCAAGTTTGATGATGTTGTGACCAACGTAGGGAACTACTACGAACCCAGCACCGGCAAGTTCACTTGCCCTCTGCCTGGCATCTACTACTTCACCTACCACGTCCTGATGAGAGGAGGTGACGGGACGAGCATGTGGGCTGACCTGAAGAAGAACGGACTGGTGAGTGTGTCTGTGAGTCGTTTGTGTGTATGAAGTGTCCCTCTGATATTGTCATCTGAAACTTTCAACTTTTGAGACAAACTCTCAGTCTGCAGCTGTTAACCAAACAAAATGTGGGGAAACCCTTTTCTACAAACATGCACAGAGTGATATATCACCCTGTGCCAACAGCAGTGGACACAATAACAGCAACTCTTTTAAAACACAGGGACGACACATATAATATATATATTATAGTTCAGTCTTCTGAACTGATACTTCCAAAACAGTTATAAAACACAGAAGTCACAAAAATAAAACTGTTTTCTAATCTTTCTTTATTTGAACATGGACAATGCACAAAGAACATTAACATTTTAAAAAGATTAATTTGAATCAACACACATTTGGACCTCTGCATTCAACCCATCCTCAGCATTGGGAGTAGTGGGCTTCTGTAAAGCAACTTGGGCTTCAGTGTCTTGTTCAAGAACTCTTGGAAAGGAGGAGCCGGGGATCGAACCTCCCCCGAAGAAATAGTTTGACTATCAATCTTTTTTACCATGTTGAGCGTCATTTGGATGTTTCAGACAAAGAACATTTTAAAGCAAAGTTCCCACAAGACATATCAAAAATAATCAAAATTCTGTTTCAATTGAGTAGAATTCAAATTAAATGACTCGTGCTGTAACTCAGCTCGTGTGTAGAGAGGATCTATCAACCCTCTATTAATACAATTTAATCAGAAAACATTAAAAAACTTTTAGTTTTTTTCAAAGTTGTTAATTTACTTTGGAGGACAAAGAAGAGGAAACAAATGCAGGATGAAAGTAGAAACAGAGATGGGACTAAGCAAAATGAAAACTGTAATCAATTGTACAACTTGCACACAAAGGCAGAGAGAGAGAGAGCGAGAGAGAGAGAGAGAGAGAGAGAGAGAGAGAGAGAGAGAGTGACAGCCAAGCGATCAAGAGGATAACAATCCTCCACGTCTCAGTGGAACGAAGCTAAAATGCAACAGCTGGCTACTGTCCTCTGAGGAACTCTGACTTTAACACTAATAAATAAACAAGTACAAATGCCTGGCACAAAGCCTTGAATGCTTCCATCTGGAGATCCGTGACAAGCTTGAAGTGCTAAGCCCTCACTCTGTTGAGGAGCCCTGATTCTGACATGTGTGCTGCAGAACAGAAGAGTGACGTCCTGGGGATTACCAGAGAAGAAAGAACATGCATTGCATTGTTACAAGTCAGACGGCTGAGTGTTTGAAGGTACAACAGTCTTTTCTCACATAATTTACACAGTACATGAACGGACAGCAATTTGCTTCTGAGCAGACCATCAACCCGCTGGGCTGCTGTTCACTGATTCTTCTTTTATGTCTTAGAAGATTTTAGATACAGTGAGTGGGCCAGTAAGAATTCAAGTGTTTTTTTAAAAAGTCCACATTTTGGACACTCACTGGACATTGCAGTTTGTTGGAGAAAGTCTTTTCCATTAGAGCGCTCTGGTCCTTGTTATGTAAAAAAACATTTTTGGGTTTTCTTCAGTTTTTGAATGCCGACTGCCCTGCAGTCTTTATCACTGGCTCCTGCTAACCCTGGTGTTGGTGTATGGAAAGCTGCAGCCATTGGCCGGTTCTTATCACCTGCCATTGATGAGCTTCCAGAGTCCAAGGTGATATCTTCTGTTTCTTTTCTGCCCAACAGTCCGGAATCCAAAGATATTAAATTCACAATGATGCAATACAGAGCAAAACAGCAAATCCTTACTGTACATTTGAAAAGCTGGAAAAAGAGAATGTGAAAAGTAAATGAAACAACTAATCAATTTTCATAGTTGTTACATGTGGAACACTTCCAGCAAGGCTGCACAATCCACTGCATCTCTGCATCAAATCACACAGATGTGCCAGCTTTTAAAATCTAAATAACAGTGCAATAGTTCATGAGAAAACTGGAAAAATGTTCACGATTTTTTACTTTGCAATGATATACATTTCTTTTCAAATGAATTGGCTCTTCCTTGACCTGTGAGCTTACCACATTCAACTGGAAATTTTATATTCTTGAAATATTCTGCAAACTAACATACTGTAGGAGCAAACAGCTACGGTTAGATAATAAAATGTCAGGTTCAAAATGAGATATTCTACTACTTTTACTTTTATAGACTTCTCAAATACACAAATCATTGTATTATAGATCTTATTTGTGCCTGATCAAGTCCATAAAACAGTTATTCCCAATGTCCTCGATTTGACAGGATGTGCACAAAGTGCAGAGTGAAGAGGACAGACAGTTAAATGGCAGATATAATTGGAGGACTTGGTTTGTTGCGTGCCTTCACAGACATTGTCATTCCTGTCTTCACTTGCTGATAAATCTTTCATAGCCTTTAGATGAGATCTTCTCCCCTCCACCTGTGCCCCTCCTTTTACACACACACACACACACACACACACACACACACACACACACACACA